CTGAAGAAGCAGATTTGCACAACCAAGGTGTTTCAACTGAATTTAGAGTTTTCCCAGTCACTGAGTTGCGTGTCAGTTCTGGGTTTGGTTCTACTTGCGAAGTTGCTTTTGAGTTTCCAGTTTTTAATTGCACTTGACATCACAGGTTCATCTCCCAGACACAACAGGTCGTTTCAAGGGCTCGGTGGCCACGGGGGCAAGTGGACCCTGACTGGGATGGTTGGTGTGCACAAGGCGTGTCTCTGAGCCGGTGGAAGGTTTCACTGGGCAGTGCTGGGCCAGGAGCTCCAGCCCCACCTGGGCGGGAGGCGGGGTGAAGCCTGACGCTGCCTTGGGGGTGGAGTTGGGATCGGAAAGAGCGAGGCGGCAGCGGCGTGTCCTTGGGCCCGAGCTGTCTTTCTCCAGACTGGGTTTTCTCCCGTGCACTGAGCTCTGCATCCAGCTTCTTCTTCCAGAGGTTGGGTCTGGAAGGGTCTTGTGACCACCTGTGGAGACAGGAAGGACCCAGGAGGGAAGGAAATCATTGCCCAGACCTCAAGACACAGCCCCAGGCTGCAATGCTCCAGAGGGGTCACACATCAACACACAGTCGAAGGCCATGGCCCTTGCCTCCCCTAAAACGGCGGCTGGAGGCCCCTCTCACCTCCAGGGCCAGAGCTGGCCCTCAGCGCCACCTGCAGCAAGCTGTGCCCTGCTCCGACTCTCGGGGAGCCCCGGCGTGAGCTTCACAGCCAGTCCCCACCTGCTGCTCCCCACGGAGTGCTGGATCCAATCCTCAGCTCCAGGGAGGGGTCAGCCGTGGGGCACAGCTGAGGGACAGCAGAATGTGGAAGTGGACCCCAGAGTTGCTTCCTGGGGCTCCTCCCTGTAGAGATGTTGTGGGGGCTGGGGGAAAGGGAGCTGGCCAGCCTCTCTGGATTCGGCTTTGCCGTTTCCCGCTCAGCGCTGGGCCTGAGCTTTGCGTCTGGACATTGGGGTGCAGCACTCACGAGTAACTCCAGCACCCACCTTCGCTCCCCGGGGGGGGGCTGTTAGTTCTGTTATCAGCCACCCGTCGTCTCCCCTCCCTCCTCCAGCTGTGGAGGCCCGCAGATCCTCTCGCTGGACCCAGACATCCATCGCAGGGGCATTATCTCCCTTGCTTGTCCTTGCATCTGCTTTTGGCTCTGGCACGTGCCCCAGGGCAAGCCCACGTGGTCTCCTGTGTCCGGGCTCCGCCACAGAATCTCTCACCTCAGCGCTGACGTGTCCACAAGGGCTCCAAGTGTGTCCTACAACGGGGCCCGCGCCAGGCCCCCTTCACACCCGTAGTCCCCCTTCTCCTTCTGTGGACACATCCACTGCTCACCCCGCAGCCTGGCACCCCGCATGGCTCTCGGTCACAGCACGCACCCGGATGGATGCTGCTCCAGGGCGTCACCCAGGCCAGCTGCAGTCGGAGGCCTCTGGTCTGGTTCCCCTCAACCACCGGCCAGTGCTGGTCTGGTTCAACATGGAACAGCTGCACATACCCTGGCGGGTACTTCCGCCTCGCCGCCCCCTGCTGCAAGCTCACGCATCCTCATGCCCGGCGGCTGCCCGGTGGTAGCGCGATCTGCCGGCCACAGGGCAGCCCCTCTGCCGAGACCAAGCCAGCTGCTTGCGTGGTGCTCAGCCGGGAGGCGGGGTCCGTGGCGTGCGCCCAGGACTTCCAGAGCTCCCCTCCGAATGGGTAAACGTGTTTGCGAGGCCACAGGAGCTGCGCTGGCCGGCCATGACCGCATGCCCAGGACAAGCTCTACCTGCCTGTGTCACGGAGACGTGGCGGGGCTGCCCTGCAGCCTTGGCCGTGCCCACCTGCATGGCTCTCAGACCTGGCCACTGGGTGAGGACCACACCTGCTCCCTGCTGCTGCCGCTGCGGGAGACCCTGCAGCCGTGGGCTTTCAGCTGGCCCTGATGTCCAGCTAGGTCTGCTGGGGCTGCAGCAGGAGCAGTGACCAGACTGCCTAGCAGGTCTCCTGGTTCACCTGAGCCACTGCTGGGGCCTCACGACTGGCACCTCAGCAGCCGGCGGCTCTGATTTCGGGAACCTCAGCTCTGGGGACCCACCTGTGAAGGCCCTGGGGTGTGTGTCTCACCTGTGATAGACCTGACCTGCTGGGGTCAGGGTGGGGTGGGATCGCAACTGTTGTGCTTTTATCTGCTGGGACATCTCACCTGCGGGAGGAGTTGCACCTGCTGGGACCTTACCTACAGGTGTCTCAGCTACTGGAGAGTCATTTATGGAAAGGTCTGCTATTAGGGAGGGGCCTCAACCCCTGGGGGTTTCATGAGCTAAAGCGTTTCACCTGTTACAGTGATCTTATCTGCTGGGGCTCTCACCTGCCAAGGGCTTCGCCTACCTGAGACCTTGGTTACTGGAGATCTCCCTTGCCTAGGACCTCACCTTCCAGTCACCTCTGCTTTCAGGTACCTGAGCTGTGGGGTACTCACCTGCTGGGGGTGCACGCACCTGCTGATGACTTCACTCTTGGGGGCCTTACCTGGAGACCCACCACCAGACGCCTGGGTCCTCACTTACCAGGAAGCTTGGCTGCTGGGAACCTCCCACAAGGTCCTGGGGGACCGGCCTTGGGGTTCTGCCCTCCGGCGATGGTGTGGTCTTCCTGCCACTGTCAGTGGCGAATGCAGGCGGGCAGTAGTGCCACTTCCCAGACGGGAACGCTCTGAGCAAAGCTTAGGTGTCTGACCGCATTCCAGGAGAGCAGGTCTCGCACCAGGGTGACTCTACCCCTCAGGGGACACTCAGCCATGTCTGGGGACTTCGGTGGTCATGACAACTGGGAGGAGGCCGGCGGCCTAGAGAGGGTGGGAGTCTTGAGCCCTACAGCACCCAAGACAACATCCCCCACAACTGAGAACGGTCTGGCCAATATCAACAGGTGGATAAACCCTCGAGGTCAAGGCCCTCATGCAGAATGGGAAGACCAAGGCCCCGAGGGGTGCGGAGGGGGGTGACTGTGGCTGGAAAGCCACATGGGCAAAGCTGGAACAAGGTTTCTGCCACACCCGGCACAGGCACAGAGGGAGGCAGGACCACCCCTGGCGGGAGAAGGGTGGGCAGGGATAGTGGTGCTGTGTGCGCCTGTGACAGTGCATGCGACCAGGGATGGCCATGTAGTGGCCAGTAGCCTGGGCGTGTGTGGCTGTGCGTGTGACCCCTGTGCCGTGCGGATGGGCAGTGACTTTGCCCCTCTGCGTGTGCGTGACGACTGTGCGGCGTGGGGGTCTGCGTGTGATCCGTCTGTAGCCCTGTGTGGGTGGCAGAATCGACCCTGGGGGTGGGGGAGGGGCTCAGCCCAGGGGTCTGCGGGGCAGCTCTGTTTACGTTCCAATTCTCTGGTGGGCTGGGCCAGTGCCCGCGGTTGGGATGCCGGATCGGTGGGAGCCGGGAAGCGAGGTCCCGAGAGGCCCGGGAAGGGTTTGTTCTCATGCGCACAAACACATCAAGGCGGCCAAGCTTCGGGGGCCACAGGCCTGGGCTGCAGCTCCGTGTCCCCACTGTGTGTCACGGGCTGGGCGACTTTCCTCCCTCAGGACCGTCTAGGGTGGGGAAACTGAGTCTTGGCTTTCACAGCATCTGGGGACTCTGGCCTCTTGACCCACCAGGCTGAGTCAGCCCAAATGGTGGAGGAACCCGTCAGAAGATTGTGGGGTGGGTGGGAACCCCAGCCAGCCAGCCACGGTCCTGATTCTGCCTTCCAAGCAGACCACCCACACGCTGGGCCCGGCCGCCAGGCCCCGCTCGCAGCTCCGTGGAAGTCCTGCCTGTTAGCTGCCTGTGTGTCTCCAGCTGCAGCCGAGTCCGGCAGGAGACGGCGGATCCCCGGCAGCTTCTGTTCACCCCAGACTGGTGGGGACCGGGTCTGGGAGGGGCGCTGATCCTTAGATCAGACTTGTGAGAAAGTGTCCAGTCTAGGGGAACAGCAGAGGAGGGAAGGGGCGCAAGAGCCTCCAGTCTGGGGGGCAGGCGCCCTCCACCCCTCAGGTGCCTTCCTCATGCAGCAGAGGGAAGAGGAGGGACTATACCTTCAGGAAGCTGTGTGTGTGGGGGGGTAACTGTACACCCCAAGACCCCTCTTCCCAGTCTGAAGGGCAGGAAAGGAGGGGTCCCGCCCTGGCTCACAACACCCCTCTTTAGGCCTCTCTGCCTCCCTCCTGAGACGAGGGGCCCTGCCACCGAAGCCCCCCGCCAGGCCCTGGGAACCCAACACGCAGAGCTGTCCGGGCCTGCCAAGCATCAAGGTGACACCATGGACAATATAAACACCGCGCGGAGCTTTTTCCATCCTCCGTGGGGGCTCGTTGTAAACTCCCCCTCCTGCTCTGGCCAGGGATTTTACGGGCCCCTCGGTCTCTGGGGATTCAGTTGTGGCCAGGCAGGCCCAGGTTTCTGGCTGGAGGGGGCTGGCGCCTGCCCCAGACTTATCCCCACAGGGAAACAGGCAAAATGTCTGTATTTTTAGCCGGTGAAAGGTGATAGTGGCTACGAGTTCACCCTGCTCGGGGCTGACCAGCCTGCGGGGGCCAGTTTGATCTGCTTCCCTTGTGCTGAGTGACTCTACTCTCTACCAAGCCCAACTTGGCCCCAGGAGCAGGAGCAGGGTCTGCCTGGACCTCAGTCCCTTCGTCTGCATCGGGGCTCGCCTCCCCCTCCAGCACACCTGGTGGGCAGGTGCGGGTGCGAGATGGCATGGGGGGCACAGACACTGAGGGGCGGGGAGGCTGGTGCTGGCCAACACCGCCGCTTCCCCGCACTCGCCTTTCAGCCTCTAGAAACAGGCCCCTCTACTTCCCGTGCGCGCCACGTAAACGGGATCCTTCCACCTCCGTGCAGGTGGCACGCCCGTGTCCCCCTTTCCAGGGGCGACGGCGCCATTGCCCCCACCCCGAAGCCCCTCAGCGCGGGGGGCACCGCTCCGTGCGCAGAATCACGACCCGAGCTCAATTTTCCACACTTTATCTCCGCACAGTTATCGTGGGCGTCTCGGGCCGCGACGGGGCGGCGGCTGCTGCGCTGGGGCAGTCTGTGGTGGGTCTTGCCAGGCGGGCGCTGCAGGGGCGCGGCCGCCGTCCAGCCGCGCCGGGTGAGGTAGGGTCACACGCAGGCGCACTCGCGCGCCGACAGCTCGTGCACGGTGTGGTAGCGGCTGTTCACGTCCAGGAAGGACACCTCGTCCTCGTAGGCCGTCGGGCGGCAGCAGGGCTGTGCGCGCACCCGCTCCCGCCGCACGCGCCGCCGCTGGCGCAGGCGCCGCAGCCCCAGGTCGTAGACGCGCGCGGCCGCCTCGCACGTGCCCGCGCAGTAGCGGAACAGCACCGTCTCGTCCGACGCGTAGCCCAGGCCCAGCTCGCTCACGCGCACCTCGAGCTCGCGCAGCCCGCAAGGCCGCGTCCCCGACCGCGCGCGCGCGCGCCGCCTCCGGGACCCCGCGCGCCGGCGCGGACCCGGGGATCTGCCCGCCCAGGGTGTCAGCTCTCGAAGCTCCACTGCGTCCGGCGCTCCCTGTAGCAGTGCGCGGTCTGCCGGGGAAAGAGAGGGGTGAGGGTGGGTGAGTGGGAGGGTGCCTGCTGCCTTGGTCCCTTGCGGGGCGCTAGCAACGCCCCACCCCATTTTTCTGTCATGTACTCTCTAGGCGGTGTGGGGGAGTCGGGGGAGGGCGCTGCATATCCAGACTCCCCCTACAGTGGGATCCCCAGGACTACCAACACCCTCTTCTGTATCCTATGTTGGGCTGCTCAGAACCTGGCTCACCCTTTCTGGGTTCCCTGGGCCACTTTCCAGCCAACCGACCTTACCCTGAGCTGATGGGTTGTCACTCCCTCCGAGCCCTTCCAGACTTTCTGTGGTCCCCATCGCCACGCAGGGCTTCTCTGGGGAGTTCACCCTTTTCACTGAGCTGAACCCACCCCTTTGTGGGAAAAGAAAGGGTGTGGTGACCCAAAAACCTGTGTCCTTACTGAACCCTTGGCTGCGTTCACCCCATCTCTGGGTTGCCCTAAGGCTGGGTTGCCCTGAGGCTCTGGCACACCGTCCTGGGTAGGCTGTCCCCATGTCCCCAGCCCCTCACATCTGGCTGAGCTTTCCTGGATCTCTAGGTCACTTCTGGGGTCCCTAGCCAGAGCCTCCACCAGTTTCCCCATGCCCAAAGCCAAACTGGCACAATTATTTAAGTCTCACGGAGACTCAGCAGCATCTTCTGCACAGGGGCAGTCTGGGGGGGGGGGGGTCTTGCGGTGGGTGCCTTTGTGGTGGAGGGCATTTGAACTTGGCAGAATACAAAGGAGAAGCAGGCTCTGAGGCCAGTGTGGGGATGCCACCTCATGGGGTGCAGCAGCTATTGTCGGGGCCACCCCCACATCACAAGTGAGCCAGCGGGGCACTTAAAAAGGCAGAGACTGCCTCAGGCCACACAATTAGCAGGTGGGAAAGAGAGACAAGCCCAAACAGCATTCCTCCCACCTCCCTGGTGCCCCAAGTTTTACCTAAGTCAAACCCTCTTGTCCTGCACTTGCCAGGAGGCGCCCCTAGTCACAGATTCCCAGAACCACGAAGCCTCAATTTATTTCCCAAATAGGTTCCTGCCTCAACCCTCCGCAGCCCAGACATTGGGGCGCAGGCAGGGCGCTCCCAGCCCCTAAGCACCCTCGCGGTCTGGAGAGGAAATCCTGAGTTCAGCCCCCGCCTGCCCCTAAGGCTGGTGCACCTGGCGTCAAAAGAAATAACTCACTGGGAGGCCCAAGGTGGGGGTGGGGGGGAGGCTGTCTGTCACCCCGGGGGGTGACTTTTCCCACAGCTGGTCTCCGAAAGCTGACAGTCCGCAGGCTGACAGTCCGCATCCTGAGCCTAGCTCCCCTGTCAGTCTGCACAACTCCAGGTAGATTGTGTGCCTCAGTTTCTCTGTCTGCTCAAGGAGGCTTGCAGAACCCAGGTTTTGGGTGGAGCTGGGAGAGAGGGAAGAAGGGGGTGACTGTGTCTTCCAAGTCCAGGCTTGGCCAGCACTGTGCTTTGGGATTGGGTGGAACCACTTCTGGTGCCCAAAATTCCACCATTTAGTGTGGACCCCCCAAAAGGTGTGTATCTGGAGTAACTGGGGAGCAAAGTGCCCCCCAGCAGACCTGGCTCCAGGTGGGGTCTGAAACACAACAACTGCACCATCAGCGCAGGACTCAGAACACAGGGCTTCGGGATATTAGTGGCTGCTCCCTCCCGCACTAGGGCTGGGCCCAGGGCAGGGTGCAGGGCAGGCCGGCACCCACCCATGGGCTGAGACACTCCCAGGGCCTGAAATCCTGCCATTTGTGCTTTGTCTCGGGTTCTAGAGTGTTTACCTTGAGAGCCCCGCCCAAGCCTTGGACCCAGCGTCCCAGGAAGAAGGGCTTTGTGGCCTGCAGGGGAGGACGGGGGAGTAGCAGGTGAAGTGGGAGTCTGAGGCCACCCTTGTCCATTGAGAAAGCAGGAAAGAAGGACTGTGTGGTCGGTATGCATACCGTGGTGATGGCCAGGGCCACCGGCATGCCACGTGCATCTGAGCCCAGCACCGCGTGGACACATGGATGGCCACACACACTCCCAAGGTGGGGGCCACACCGAAGCTGGGGGTCCAACCCAGGGGCGACGGGGTGAGTGGCTGTGCCCCATGGGCATTTTCATGTCCCCTCCCGCCTCCCCGTGGCTCTCCTACCCTTTCTCTTTCCCCCTCTCTGTGCCTCGAGCCCTGTGCACCCAGGAAGATGAAGGAAGATGACTGGAGCCTCAGACCCGTCTCCCTCTCCCCTCACCCCCCACCACTGCACTGCGGGGGCCACCCTGGGCCGAATGCCCAGGTCTAATCTCCATCTGGCCCCCTGGTCCCTTCGAGCAAGAGCCTAATTCCTTGTGACAGCTGAGCCGAAAGACCCCAGTTCTCAGCAGCCATCCCGCCACCCATGCCAGGCCGCTGGGGGGATTTGCACCCTCCCTCTACCCACGTCTAAAAAAAGCCTCTGACCTCGATCCACCGTCCCAAGTGCCACCATCACGGCCGCCCCTGTGCTGGGGGTGTCCGGCCCAAGATGGGCTGCAGGGCTTACACTGGGCTAGGCGGGCGATCCGGGCGTCCACGGAGCGAGGCGGCCGGCGCAGGGGGGCCAGTGCGGGTCCCAGGCGGTGGCTGACCAGCAGGCCGTCCCGACACATCCAGATGGAGAGCACGGAGCTGCAGAGCACCGAGGCCAGGGCCGCCGCTTTCCAGCGCTGCATCCTCGGCCTGCAGGCGCAGGGTGGTCAGCCAGACGGCCGCTCGGTCTGTCAGGCAACGGGCCAAGCACGGGGGACAGAGTGAAGCCCCTGATTTGAACCGCTCCTGCTCAGCGATCAATCACTGAACAAAGTGGCGGAAAACGCTAATAAGGAGGCGGTGGGCACTGTGCCCGGGGGACAGAACAGCCCCTTTCTGGGGGTTCCACAGTGCTCTCCAGAGGACTGAGAGTTGAGGCCTGCACAGACGTAGGGGCTGGAGAGGCAGAAGGGAAAGGCATCTCAGGCAGGGGAACAGCTAGTGCGAAACCCTGCGGGGCGAGCCGGCTGCCGATCAGCCAAGGGCCTGGGGGTGGGGGGGGGCGGGGGCAGCCCAGAGAGCTTGGGGGGAAGAGATGAGGCGAGGGCACTCCCTGCAGGGGGCACTGTGGGATAAGGGTGGCCTGGAGAAACCTCAGAATGCAGTCTCCAGGCAGCGCCCCGAGGCTCATTGGCTCTCTAGGCATTGCTGCCCTTGGGAGGTCTCGCTGCACCCCTCTGGGCCCTGGGGTCCCTGCCAGACAGTCACGCTGATGCCCAGAAGCGGGCAGCGAAGGACCCAGTTGCACTGACCCACTTCAGGTCCCTGAACAGGCCAGACCTGCCACCCAAACCCTCCTTTCCGATTCCTCTGTCAGGGTAAACTCAGACTGGCCCTCCCCCAGGGCACCCCTTTCCCCCACCCTCTCCCAAAGGGCGCCCTCCCGACGCGCAGGAGGCCACGAGCCCCCCCCATTAGGACGCGAGTCCTCGGACTGCCAGGGAGCGGGAGCGCTGCGCCCGGGGAACAGTGTAGTAACCCGCGGGCACCAGCCACACTCCCGCGCCCCTCGCTGCCCCTCCCCGCCTCAGGGCGGCCCCAGACCGCGTTTACATTCCCCCACCCGCCGCGGGGTGACGGCCTGCGCTGGGCCTGGCCACCGGCCAGGTGTAAACATTTACACGGAGCGCTGAAAGCCAGGCTGGACGCGGTCAGTGCCTGGACGCCACCGTGACCGCGGGGTGCCGGGCGCCCCCACGCGTGCGCCTTGGGTGGTGCAGCCTCGGGAGCACAGCAGCCCGGGGTTATTTGCGTGCGATTTGCATTGCGTTTGCCCGGGTTTTGCAAGGGCCAAGCCCCAAACAGCGTGGCTGGAACTGCCTTTACTCCCCAACCTTCATGGATATGGGGGCGCAGAGCCTCCACCCATCAGCCGTTTAAGAAGCACCTGCTGTTAGCCAAGCCTGGCGCTGGGCCCACAAGGGAAGTACTACCACCTCCATTTTACAACTGGGGAAACCGAGGCACACGTCAGCTAGGGCCTTGTCCAAGCACACAGCTAGAAGGGGCTGGGGGCTTGAACTTAGGGGCTCTGATAAGCCCAACCCGCCTGAACTGGGCTGAGCGGGGCTTGGGAGCAAACCCTTTGGGGCTCCCCGTTGCCACCCCTGTGGGCATCCAACACTGCCGTTTTTATTACTGTTGCTGGAGTTGTTGGAGACCAGCTCTCCCCACGTGGGGTCAAGTAAACACCCCTGGTCCAGACTGGAGATGTGGCAACTCTTTGCCATTGGCTGCCAGCACATAAGAGATAAGAAGACGTTTGCGGGGTGAAAGAATGGGCTAGCAATTGAACGCAAGGATCCCCCCCAGACTGGGGGATCCAGGATTTCACCTCTGTGGTTCAAATACTGCACCAGTGTCTCTCAGGAAACCTTCCTCGTCTGTTACGCGCTGGCTGTATACTAATACATCCAATACACTCACCCATCCAACCATCCATTAATTGATCTGACATTGATTGAACCAATTTGTGGGGCCTGAGGATATCTGGGGGACCAAGATAGACATGGTTTTATGGTAGGAGAGGCAGACACTATGCAAAGAAACTTTGTTTTTAATGATTTCAGGCAAGTCAAACAGGTGGCGGGATAGTCAGGGCTAGATCTGGTAGGGTGGTCGGGGAGGCCCTCCCTGAGGAGGTTACGCATGAGCTAAGACCCCAGCCTGGCAGGTCACCCGTAAGACAGGCTGGGTGCAAGGGTCCAGGCAGAGGACACAGAATGTGCAAAGGCCCTGGGGCAGGAATGGGCCTGGCTTGTTGGAGAAACAGCGAGGCAGTCCATGGGCTGCAGCAGCGGGCGAGAGCGGGCGAGAGGGTGCAGCTGACAGCAAGGCAGCAGGCGGCAGAGGCTGCCATGCAGGTGGGCCCTCGTGAGCTATGGGAGAATGCGTCACTGTCAAGGTCGTGCAGCAAGCAGAGGTCAGCCCTGGTATTTTCAGGTGCCCGACACACCTGTTTATTCTTATGAGCACCAATTTTATGCCAGGCCCCTTCTAGAAACTTACGAAGCCATTTCAACCTCACAAGAGAGGTCCTTACCCCCATTTTACAGATAGGGAAACTGAGGCCCAGAGTGGTAAATAACTTGCCAAGAGTCAGAGGGCTGAGACTTGAACTCTGGTGGCCTCAGTCCCTGGGAAAGAGAAACGGGCAGGGAAACCCACCGGGGCTCAAGGTCTCAGGTGCGTAAGGTCCTCGCTGGCCCCTCGGCACCCTGCCTGCCTCCACACCCAAGTCTGAGAGCAGCATGCCTCAGCTTCCCGGTTCGGCTGGAGTAAAGTCCTCTGTTCCTCGGTTTCTGCTAAGGGTTAAGGAGTGGGGGAAAGGAAGGGGAGGTAAGAAGGAGAAGCAGGGGGCTGCCGACAGGGTGCATGAGACAGCAGCCCCAAGATGGCCACCACGGGAGCTCCTGCGGCCTTGGAGCTGCAGACCCCCCACAGCTCCGATGTGGGACAGGGAAGCAGGGGCCTGGTGGAGGGCCCAGCAGGTGCGGCTGATAAGCATCCCTTAACAATGGGCCTTTCAGTAAGGGGGTCACCCAACTGGTTTGTCTCTGGCACAGACCTGACCGGGAGGGGTGATGAGGGTGTGGCAGAGGGCACTGAGGAGGGGGGCCAGGCACGCCTGCCTGATGCCCTTGTCATGGGGCCCTCAGACTTGGGGAGTGGGTGCCGCGGGAGTGGAGGCTACCCCCCCTCACACCGGGGTCCTTGTGTTCGCTCACGCACTGGGGTGCCCTCACTCTCAGTCCACACATGACCACTTGGATCCCACCCCGCTCTCGCGGGGCGCCCTCCCCCGTGCCCCGATCCTCCCCGCTTGCACACGGTGTTTCCACGGTCACTCCCGCCACGCGCACGCCCAGGGTGGCACGCTCACACTCCAGCTGGCTGCCTTTTCACACCCCGGTGCCTCACACCCACAGCCACGTGCTTGGGAGTTCTCACACGGGTATCACACTCGCACCCAAAGGTTATCACGCCACACACCTGCACACTCCCGCTCCCCATTCAGGCCTGTTAACACGCATGGACTCGAACAGGGCCACTCCCAGTCACCCTTGGACACTACTCGTTCCCAAACACTGTGTGAAAACACAGAAGTGTCATGCACGCAACCACAATCACGCTCTGGTGTGTTCCAACCCCCACACGCTCCCACTGCCATGTCTCCCCAGTCAGACGCACGAGGCAGGTCTCTCCTCACTCACTCTTGGAGACCACACTCGCACACCCCTGCACACACCCCTGTGCTCACACTCACACCCCCTCACACTCTCGGGAGCTGCAGACACTCAAGCACGCTCATGCTGTCACAGCACAGTGCGCTCTCGGGTGCAGACGGACACACACACGCCCCAGCCCTCCCTCAAACACCTGCCGGGGCCGAGGGGCACACGCCTGGCGGCACAGAATGTCCATATCTCTCTGCTCTGACCAGGGGCCAAGGCAGCCTGCTGCGTGCTGGCTCCGACCCCCATGTCCCGGCGACACGTGCACACACGGGGCACACATGCCCCAACCTGCTGCAGGTGCTAGGGGGCCCGGCACGGCAAAGATTGGGGGGCTGCAAGGCAGGAGGGTGTGGAGGAGGCGGCCCCCCGCTACCTGGCCCGGGTCTGCTGCTCCTGGCACCTTAGTTGCCACCCACACTGCCCAGACAGGGCCTGGCCACTGTCTTCCCAGTCCTGGGAAAATGCCCAGGCCCTGGAGAATTCTCACTGCCAGGGGGAAGGAACACCCTTTTTGCTTTGGGGGCCATGCCAGTGTGAGCTGCAACAAGAAGGATCTAAAGAGAGGGCAACTTCTAGCTGGAATCTGGGGTGGTGAGGAAAGGGAAACTGAGGTTCGCAGAGGGGTGACGAGTAGCCCAACTGCACATAGCCAGGTGGGCTCCTCCATGGATCCAGGGAGCAGATGGGTGTGTGGGTGTTTCTGGCAGCTTCCTTGATGGTGCCAGGAAATGCTGCCCATTATCCTGGTGCCCAGGCAACGCCCTGAGGCTCCACCTTTCCACTGAGCTGCCTAGAAGGGGCTGCCTCGGAGGTACCCACCAGGCTTACCTGTCTCTAGAGTGAATGGCCTCTATCCTACACATAGAGAGGCCACAGAGGGGCATCTGTGCTATGCCCATTCCCAGGGTGAAGGGACTATCTCTCTATCCAGCCATCTCTTCCAGTCTGGGGAAATCGAATCAGAGCCTTTGCCCATCAGGCAAACTCCTACTCATCCTTCAACACCCTGACTTCTATAGCCCTCCTCCTCCTCCTCCTCCTCCTCCTCCTGCTTCCCATCTTGACCCGCTAGCTGTGGGTTCCTCTCTCTTGCCCATTCCTCTGGCAAGGTATCTGGGTCCACACCTCTCTCCATTGGACTGGGGTTTCTTGAAGAGACGGCCAGGCTCGCTGGGCCTTTCAAGCAAGGGCAGACTTCAGTAATTCTGTTTCTGGAGGTACCAAGATAGCTGCAGCTGCCACTCTCCAGGCTTTCAGCTCCAGGCTTTCAGCAGAGTGGTGCCTGCTCCGTGCATGCCCATCTCCCTCCTCCCTTTCTTCATCACTGGACTCATGCCTGGTCCTCCCGTAACTTGGTTTCCCCACTTTCAGAAAGGGCTGAAGAGGCCCAGCACTGTGAGGACACCAGGGAGGACCTGGAAGAGCTGGATGGGGCTGTCGTCACTGCCCACAGATGGAACAGGCCGGGTGA